CTTCCAGGACCAACCAGCGTGCTTCTTCTTGCTGCTGCCTTTCTGCCTCCCTCTCCTTGGCTCTCATGTCTGCTTCCCACTTTTAGTGTTCACACTCTGTCTTTCTGTTCATATAATCATTTTTGGTGTTCACGCACCTGTCTCATTTTGTCATTCTCCAACCTGGCCTGCAATAAGGGCTAGTCTATACTAGAAGCGCTACGGCAGCACAGCTGCACTGATGCAGCTGCACCACTGTCGCACATCTGGTGAAGACACTTTATGCTGATAGGAGAGAGCTCTCCCGTTGGCATAATAAAACCACCTTCATATAAGATGTGTTGGTGGAAGAAGCTCTCCCACTGACATAGCGCTGTCCACATCGCTCGGAGGGCAGGGGTGGGGGTGGCTTATTCACACTCCTGAGTGACATAAGTTATACCGACATAAGTGATAGTGTATACAAACCTTATCTTTGTAGTTGCTGACATTCCTGTTTTCATCTTTACATTTGTTCTATTTCCCTTACCCAAAATAAACAGAAAATAATAAAACTGTAACCTTTCTTTTACTGTTCCCAGCCTTCACACTTGAGAATCACTTAAAATTGTTACACCGGCGCTTAAAGTATAATTCTCAGTTAAAATAGCAAGCTGTGTGTAAGCCTTGTTTTGACTATGCCACTGTCACCTTCTTGGGTGCAATCCAGACCGGTGAGGAGTTGTGCCACCTCATACCCTGTACTACAGAGTGCCTCAATGCTTGCTACTGTAGTTCTGTTAGGGCTGGTCCACATGAAGCCCCCAGTTCGAACTAAGATACGCAACTTCAGCTACGTGAAGTCGAAGTATCTTAGTTCAAACTTAAAGGTACTTACCGCAGGTCCACACGCGGCAGGCAGGCTCCCACGTTGACTCCACCTTCTCCTCTCGCGGAGCAGGATTACCGGTGTCGACGGCGAGCACTTCCGGGATCGATTTATCGATAAATCGATCCCAGAAGTTCGATTGCTTGCCGCCGAATCAGCGGGTAAGTATAGACGTACCCTTAGCAACAAGCACGCAGGTCACACTCTGAGTGTGTGTGTGTTATGCGGCCAGCCTTGGTTCAGCAACCCTGACCCCAGCAGCCTGTCTACAGCCCCTCAATCTTTATAGACCAGTAAACCTTTGAAATGGATTCTCCTAAAGGTTACCCCTGAAAGTAAAGTTTATTTAAGCTGTGCGGAAGGCGACATGAAGTCTAATGGTGAAGGAAGCTCCATGTTTTTTCTTCCCCTCCTGCTGTTTGCTAAAATGCAAATTGTTCTGTTTCCTTCAGTCTCCCCCTCCCACCACCTTGTTAGTTTGATGGCCCCGTTTACAACATATATGTGTACTGCAATAAACCCATATTCTTTTGTTTAAGGCAGACTGTGCTTATGCACTGCTTGTGAAACACTTTTTAAGAATATAATTCTGGCACATATCATAACTCTTAATACCCACCACATGCATACATCACACAAAAATATTAATGATAAGTGAGTTATTAGTTTTCAAATGATACCTCAGAAGGCATATTTTGTACAAAGATTACTACAATAGTGTGTAGGCTGTGAATACAGAGATGCTTCGAGTCACAGGTATATTTTTAAATTAAGGGATTTCTAATATAGCCATGTGATTTTAAGCAATCTTTCAAAGTACTTTAGAATCAGTAATTGTCATGAAAATAAAATATTTCTCATACATTTGCATTTACCATGAAAAAAGCTTTTCTCTAAAAATCACAAGTTCTGCTTTATATATCAGATGCACAAAGAATTGGTTGTCAAATAGAATTTATTCTGACCCTGGCTCTGTATATTTTGATGACATGGAATTACTCATTGCAAAGAAAACAAGGGGATGGGGAATTAGTAAATAGGCTTAAATCTTCGCACCTGGCAAGGCTTGATTAAATAGGCTTCCCACAGAGGAGTTCTGCAAGGCCTTGGAGTGTAGCATCCTACTTAGGAATGTGTCTCACACACACACACACACACACACACACACACACACACACACACCTGCGCTCCAATTGCAGCAGATCAAGCCTCCACGAAGCAGTGCTCCACAATTCAGAACTTCCTTTACAGCTGTCCACGTCCTGCTCCTGCTCTTTACTATGAGCCAACAAGAAGCTGGCCAAAGTAAATAGATTAAGGTACCTTTAAAATAGTTTCTTTTTCCTCTCAGCCAAAATGTTGCAAGTTATGATTGAGATGCATTGGCAGGACTATGTGACTGTTCACTAAGTGTCTCTTCCCTGTCATCAGTGTCACTTTTGTTAACACCACAGAAACTTTGAGCTCCAGTTCTGCACTAAGCACCGTGAACCTTCACATGGAGACTCAATTAAGGTCATTGGGATTCTTTAGCAATGGTCTTGTCTACACCCAAAAGTTGTTACAGGTTTAACTATATTGGTATAGGATTTTCTATGGCCAGGTGGCCTAGTAGCTGGTCTTTCAATCTGTAAGGCCAGAGAGGACGGTAGGGGGACCCAGACCCTCCCTCTCCACCGGGTCCCAGCCCAGAGCCCTATGTAGGTCAACCCCTAAACAGAGGAGTTGGGTCTGCCTCCCAGTGTGTGTTCCGTGGGTTTCTTCCTACAAGTCTCTTTAGTTTGGGGCATGGCCCCACTAGTCCAGATGCCCAACATCTAGGGATTATTTGCATACTCCCCTTGGCAGGGGAACATTTACTTGCCTCAAGTGGCTGTGCTGGCTGGCAGGTTACTGATCCATCTCAGCCAGCAGATAGCTCCTGCCATCTCACCAGTCAGCTGCCAAATGAGCCAGCCTCCCTTCTTTTCTACCCCCTCCAAACCTGGTATTGGCTGCAGGTATAGCAGGGCAGGGCTAGCTGAACCCAAAGGTTTTCTTTAATCCCCACTGTGCCAGATGGCAGTTTCTTTGCTCCTTCATAGGCCCCGATTCTGCAATTGGTTGGGCCCTACAACAGGTGCAGCAGATGCTTACATGCTAACAATTGCAAGATCAGGGCCTAATTCTCCAACCCCCAAATATCCTTGTTACTCAAAATTTGTGCTCTAGTCAATCCCATATCCATAATTTTTATCAAAATTAGTAGTTACAAAATCCCAGTTTTATAAAGGTTTTGTGATCTTCCCTGAGATCTTAAAAATTAATAAATCAGGAATTTACGTGTATCACTGGTGACCTGCATAGGAAACTATATCCAGTTTGTATCTTTCTCTATGCTATATAAAAAAGGCTTAAAAGTCTTGTAAAATTATATGTCTGTTCTTTGTATTAGCAATGCAGGTCTTTCCTGGGCTGAAAGACTTCACAATGCCTGGAGAACTAGTGAAATGGTGACATCACAATACCCCAAAGAGTGCAATTGTGGGGGAGGGATTTAGTTAGACTATTTAAAACCTTTTTGGGATGTGTTTTAGTAACACCTATTTAATTCCAGTGACAAATTAACATTTGGAATTAAGGGAGCATTTGTTAAAAGATCCAGCACTCTCTTCTATCACAATAAACATCCCTTATGCCTCCCAGGCTTGACAGTCCTGAACCCTTATATTTTTATGGTGAAAAGCAAGTATTAACAAAGCAAATAACAAACAAGGCATCTGGGCAGTCTTTATAAAGAAAGGGACATCAGACCAATTTAAAAAAAAATACTTCACAGATCACATTTAGGGTTAAACTGATTCCTGTAGCTTTTATATTTTAATAAAATATTTACAGGCTAGACTTTTGAAGGTATTCAGGTATCTAAAGCTGCAGATAGATGCTTAGTGGGATTTACAAAGGTGCCTAACTCCTATTGGTTTCAATGAAAATTAGGTGCCTGTGTGCTCTTAAAATCCGACTAGGCATCTATCTGTATGTATAAGCCTTTAATATACCTTTAAAACTCTGGCCCTACATTACTTTTGAATACTGCAAATCCTTATTCATGATGAAAGGATGATATTGTAATGATGCTACTCATACATGCACTTGTAGGTCCAGCCTATTATATTAACATTTTGGGAAACTTTTTGGACTTTGAGAAAGCCAAACATTTTCTCATTGCAAAAACTCTCTCCTCTCTGGATCAGGAAGAAATGGGAATCGATATGGTCAATGTGGACATTTCTAAAAACTCTTTCCTGCCAAAATTCTCCTATCTATGATTTTAAGGCTTCTTTTTCTCCTTTAGGATATAATTTAGTGTAGGAGTTTTCATTCTATAATACTAATTTAAGACAGGGAATTGTTGTATCAGAGTTACTATGGAGAAATGATTTCTCAGATGTACAGCTGTCTAGTCTTTGTTAATTACGCTTTAATTAGAAAACATTAAGGTTTTTTTTTTCTTTTTTAACCAGATTATTTCTTTTGTACAATGGATTTGTTGTAGCCTTCTTATATCTACCTTTATCCTACTGGCATATAACAGTCCCCAAGGATCACTTGAGAACCTCATGCCCTGCCCCGCCCCTGACATGTCCCCTTCCTCTCTGCTCCCAAAATGTCCCTTACATAGGATGGGGCAAGAGGAACTCATGTAGGGCTGATTACTCCATCCCTGTGCCAGCACACTCCCTGATATCCCTCAGGTCAGGGGGTTGGAAAGGTGGAGAAAACCACCTAAGCCACCCACCCCACCTCCATGCACTGAGCCCCACTTTAGTGCACCTGGAGAGCTGGGGATTTAGCCCAAGATATTGAAAGGTGGATGAGGGAACCTCTCTGGAATGACAAGGAAAAGTGGTTGAGTTGTTTATAGATGTAATGCACACAAGCACATGTGCAGCTACTATATGGAAATAAGAGCTAATGCTTCTTCAGAGAAGGGGAGGAAAGCACAGATGCTGTAACACTACTGCTATGAGTGTAACAAACAGGATATATTTTCCCCTATGTTGTTCTGACCTGTAATGAATAGCAGTCTGGCTTCTTCCGGTTTCAGTAATTGTGCTTACTTAGTGAATGTTAGAAAAACTGTTGGCTTCAAATGTTATTTTATTCTTTTCAGGTCAGGCCATGCTTTTGCAACAGTTGGACAAGTAATATACATGTTTGGCGGTTCTTCGGGTGAAAATATTTACTGCACTGATGTGCATGCATTGGATACAGGTATCTTTTAGAATTGCAGATGATTTCCTTCTTAGTACATTTTATAGATATATAAAGTGTGATAAGAGAAGAGGAGTATCACAAACCTGTCTTACAGATCCCGTGGTACTATTTCTAACCTCCCAGCAGGATCCAGAGTTGGTGCAGAATTGCTCTGCAGCCAATACTCCATTCTGAGGACAGGACTAGGCCCCGCAGCCTTAGTGCCCCTTCCATTGATAGAAGGACTGGAGAATCTGCACAACAGTAGGGACTTCAGTCAGACCTCCAAAGAACTGCTGCATGTAGCTGTGCAAGAGCTTCTTCTGTACTGGACTCCACACAATGCAGAAGAGCCTGCACCTACTTTGTGAGCTCTTGGATTGTTTCTTCCTGGCCCCTGTGCTGCAGAACTACCAAGGTTCATCTCTGTTAGTGGGCACCTACAGAGGAGGGGAGAAAATTTTGACCTTTGTGTGAAGTATCATTTTTGTTACCTGTCTTTGAGAGATGCGCCAAGAATACAGTCTTAAATACAAGCTTGTAAATATAGTACTGACAAGGTGAATTTACAACAGAAAATTAAAGCCAGCCAAAGCACATTGAAAGAGTTGCATAGTTTATTTAATTACATTTGCTTTATTCGTAAGTCTGATAGGCCTGCAAAATAGAAATCCTTAAAAGCATCATAGAAACAGGCACACACAGCTGGAGTGTAGATGAAAATTTACCCCTTTTTCTATCCTTCCCACTTAAATCCATCCTCACCCACCACATTTACTGTCTTCAGAGGAACCACACAGGGTAAATTGAGATACTTCCTAGAAATTTCTCATTGTTTCATTTCAAATATCTTCTTTCCTAGGTTGGATATGAGCTAACTGATATGAAATAATTGTATTGCCTGGTCATGCATTTGTATATTGCCTCATGAAAATACACCTAATGTATTTACAGCTGCAGACTGGATTCAGGGACAACCTAAATTATTAGGAGGGGCTGGTCATTAAGTTATTTGTCTGGAGACAACTGCTTCTTTCACCTATCCTGAGTCAGGAAAAAAGACATTAGAAATAAGCCACTATCTCAAGCCCCTCTTTTGAACTGTTTGTCTTCTAGGATAAGTTAATTGAAATTTCCCTCTCCCAACTCAAACTTGAATTTTAATATGTCCAGATGGAAATAGGCCATTTTTGCAGAGACCTTGGCTTTTTCACTGTAAAGGGAGTTTTCCAGCTCAAAAATCGCCTTTATTTTTATCAGAGGTTTGAGATGAGACTGCATGGGGGCAAATAGGGTGTGGCCTCGGTATGGTTGCATGGGGCCAGATGTGGCCCCTGCATAACTACATGGAGCCAGAGGGGTGAGCAAGACAATTTACCCCTCTCTGCAGCTGTGCAAAGGTTACACACAGACCAGTCCCTGTCCTGCCTGCACTTTGGGGAGCACAAAGACAGCCTAGCCTTGGTCACCCCTTCCACTTCCCCCCAGGAAGCAGGGCTCTGCAGAGGGAGGAGGCAGGAGGCAGGGCTGTGATCCCACTCCCCTTCTGCATCAGTTTGTGGAGTGGAGTCAGCACATAAAGGTAGCAGATTGCTCACCTCTTATGTACAAGGAGCATCACCGGAAAGATTGTGCCAACCTCCCGAGTGCTCCTTCTGAGGCATTGCTACTTGAATGGCCTTCTCTTCAGGACAGTGGCTGAAAAGCCACAATCTAGCTCAAAATGTTTCACTCCAGCTGACCTGCAAAAAATATTACCCCCCCCCACATTGTTTCTTCAGCAGTGATAGTTGGTGGTTTTGCACCACTCTGTTTTGTTAACCCATGAACTATAACTGTAACTTCCTTTGATCTATTAGTCTTTCAAGTAATACTTCTTGCAACAATTTACTATGCCGTCCCACCAAGTTTTCTGCTGGTGAACTAAACAAATTGGGAGAAAATAAATCTGGATCCCGCACAAGTCCATCTTTGCAACCAGCTTTTGGATTATAGCTGCACTTTAAAAGGCTGTAGTATGTAAATTTTATGATTTTCAGATAGCAAGGGAAATCAATGGAAAATATATAATTATGTGAGGCTCTTTTCCAACAGGTTTGTTAACCTGGCAGCAGTGTGAAATCAAGGGAGAGATACCCAGTGGAAGGTCACATCACACATTTACAGCACACCATGACAAGGTATAGACCAAATGTCATTTTTCTGTCCTGGTTTATTTTTTCTGTAATTCCAATATGGAAGGAAGATGCAGGAATGTCTCCTTCTCAACACTTCTCAGATATATACTCTTAAAGAAGGTGTAATGAGATTCACCTCTAGGTTTTTCTGAGCAGCAGTATGATCAAGAAGTCTAGTACAGGAGTAGGAGCCAGGAACTCCTGCCCTTTAATTTTTGTCTACTCAATTTGAGGCCTCATTTTCAAAGGTGCTAAGCAACCATAGATCCCATTGACTTCATATGGAATTTTGGGTGCTCTGTGCTTCTGAAAGTGTCTCAAAATGAACACCAAAAAACGGAGGCATCCCATAGAAATGCCCGCTTTAGAAAAAGTTGATCTTAATATCTCTTCCCCAGATTCCCATCTTAGAAACAGGGATAATAATACTTACTTACCCCACACAGATGCTGTCAGAATATATTCATTAATTCTCGAAAGTGGAGTATATTATTTTTTCAAATGTAAAGCCATATGCAAGTGCTAAGTTTTCAGTTGGGATTTCTTCATAAATATCACTGGCACAATGTGATCCATTTGTTGTATAGGTCGCTTGTTCAAATTTAGCCCAGATTACTAGTGATTGAATGTTATTGCTCTCTAGCTTTTTTGTCTGTGTGAGTGAGTGAATGTCCCTGGTCCAGTTCCCATCACTACAGTTGGCAATCTCATCAGAGAGACTCTAGATCAGTGATGGGCAACCTGCGGCCCACAGGCCACATGCAGCCCATCAGGGTAATCTGTATGTGGGCTGCAAGACATATTGCTGATATTGACCATCCGCAGGCGCAGCCCCCCCCCGCAGCTCCCAGTGGCCACTGGGAGCCAGGGCCGACTCCAGGATTTTTGCTGCCCCATTCTTCGGCAGCAATTTGGCGTCAGGTCCTTCGCTCCAAGAGGGAGTGAGGGACCCACCGCCGAATTGCCACCGAAGAGCCGGACGTGGCGCCCCTCTCCGTTGGCCACCCCAAGCACCTGCTTGCTGCACTGGTGCCTGGAGCTGGCCCTGCTGGGAGCTGTGGGGGGCCGTGCCTGCAGACAGTCAACATCAGCAAAATGTCTCGCAGCCCGCAATCAGATTACCCTGATGGGCCGCATGTGGCCTGTGGGCCGCAGGTTGCCCACCACCGCTCTAGACTGAATGGGCATGGAGGCTGAACAAACTCCACAATCCTTGTAGCATTCTTTCCAGCACAGAGCTCAGGACCAGTGGCAGAGCAATGGGGATTCCTAGCACAGCCAGTGCTTTTTAGTAGTGCATAAATGAAGGGGTTCAGTTTGCAATACTGTCAAACATAGCAAATAACTTTCATGCAAACACTATGCTCACTTTTAAAAATATCATTACTTCCTGCATGACTTGCTTATGTCTCATAGTTTCCTCTGTTGCCACACTGCACAGGTTGCTGGAAGAGTGCTGAATGCCATATCTTTTTCTTCTAAAGTCTAACCACACTATACGCGCTACCTTCTGGGAATCCAACAACCTGGAAGATGAGCGAAAGTACTGATTCTCTTCCTTTTCACTGCAGTCTGAAACACCTCTTACTTGCAAACGCTGAAGCATTTTTGCATTCACTAATATATGGACAATGTTCAGAATGCCCAAGAATCTGTCTATTTTAAGGTTTTCTATAGCCTCATCAGTGTAATAACCAAGCAGTAAATCCAGGTAAATTAGTTCCACATAGAGAGAGTCCAGTGGATTTCATTACATTGTCTACTCTTCTCCTTTCCTTAGTAATAAGAGTTAATAAATAATTAGGTTTTCTTCCCCCACCTCACCCGCTTCTCTTTTTTTTTGTTTTTTGCGGGGTGGTATAGGTGATATGTGTGTGTTGAGAGGAGAGGGGAGTTTTCATGTTGTTTTTCTAGATACATACAGTTAAATTGCAGGGAAAGAGACTTTCCATAAGATAATACTTTGAGAACAGAGTCTCATATATTGTATTACAGTTGCAATTCTTGCCAACAGGATATCTATTTGTTTGGAGGAATATATGAATCTAAAGATGGTAATAAAACAACAAAGAATGATGTAAAGAAATTAAGCTTAGGTGAGTAAAAATGCAAAAAGAGGGTTGTCAGCACAATTTTTTAATCACTGAATAGAGCAAGATACTATCCAGCACTATCCTAAAGCTAAATGGCTGCACAAGGGCATAGTCTTGTAATAAAATGAACCTGAGTACATCTTTAAATATGTGTGGAGCTACATAAAAATACATCCAAATGCACAAGTGCATCTCTGTAGTCAATATATGATCAATAATTTAACAATTTATTGAAAATGTGTAAGATTTAATTAAAAGTTGTATAATATTTATACACACAAATATATGCTCCAAATCTAACACCACTCTCTATCCCCTTAAAGATGTTATCACACCTTCCAGATTTGCCTTGAATCTGTAATGTAAGGTTGCACAGCATTTTATGGCTTACGTTAGGTTGCAATGTTTCTCTAGACAAGCTCTGTAAACCACTTTAATTCAACACTTTTTGTTGCACAAGAGATTGCAGGAAACCTCTGAACCTCTCCCTTCCTTCCCTTGGTGAGCAGTTACTCACCCAAGTGGTTCTATAGAAGTCCTTGAGACTACATAGGGAAGTAACTGCTCAAGAGCAGGAACAGGAGGTTCACAATGTGACCTATAGTGATTTGGGAAGGCTGCAAAATGCCATTCTTTAGGAAAGTCAGATTTCAAATATGATTTCACCTGTTGTTCTAAACAATGGTCATGCAAAAAGAATGGACATACCGTGGAGTTGTACAATACTCATGTTGGGCTGCAGTTAGTGACTGCTTAGCACATTTTTTCTAACTGTTTTCCTTAAACAGAGAAGAAAAATGTTACACCTGTTTATAAATTCATTGTCATTTAGTTTTTCCATGTTTTTGTGCAGAGAAGCTTTTTTAACCAACTTTTCTGGTTTAAAATAAACAATTATATTTAAAATTAAATAGTTTCAATGACATTTAAAAAAAGTTAAATCTGACAATACATTGGCTAACTTTTCTGTCTTCTTTCAAGGTGAATCACTGCAGGACACTAAGTAAAAAGGAACTTTATGAGTGTAATTTATTATAGAGCCACACTGTTGATGAGAATTAGGGGGAGCAGGGAACTATTGGAAATATTTTCAAGAAAATTAATGCAACTTTTTTTAACCAGGGTTTTGTTGTTGTTGTTTGTTGTTTTTCCATGATTTCTCACCCCAGAATTTCAGGTGACTGAAAACTATTTGCATTGAAGCCTGCAAAAACTTGAAAAGCCATTTTTGCATGAAAATTCACCCACATTAATTTTAACAAAGTTGCTGGAGGAAGTTCCTTCCAAAACCCACATGATTTAATGGATTAAGTACAGCAGACTAAACTGTGATCTGCTGGTGCTGAGTTATTTTCAGAAGTTCTACCTTCTTGGCTATAATGCAGTATGGCAAAGGGCATGATCAGACAGGAATCACTCGCTGTGCTTTATGGCACATGCATAACCCCATATTGTGAAATCTTTATACATAATTTTCTATTGGATCTACCAGAGTAACAACACAAATAGTGCCACATAATGCAACTTCTACATTGTGTGTTCTTTGTGTCCTTTGTCACATATCATCACTCCCATCACATATCTTTTTTGCTTGACAATACATATCATCACTGTTTGTGATGGCTCTCCCTTTGTGCCATAAATTATTGTTTAGAGTTGCTGGTCTTGAATCAACCCTGAGATATTTTTGACTTCTATCAGCTTATTCCAGTGAACAAAGCCTTTGGTGGCAGGAAGTCTACCTGGAAGTGGGATTGAGATGCAAAACACCTGTAACTCATGCTCTGCCTTGAGGTCCAGAGCCAGATAGCAATTATGAAAATTTAAAGCTACCAAACACTTGGAGTGTGTCTCTCTGCGGCAGAGCTATCCTCCTTGTCACAAGGGCATGAATTGAGTTCACCGTGTGCAGCTAAACAGATGCCATGTTCACTCCATAGATGAACTCCAATGCTTCATGCATTTCACTGATGGGCAGAGATCCCTGTATATGGAAGTGGGAAAACACTTTGAGATCACTTGGGATTAAAAGTCATATAAATGTAACAGATTTACTGCATTAACATTATTATCCTCCTTGACATTACAAATAGACTTCCCTATCATCTCCCATCCTTGCAATGTTTTTCTTAGCTGCTTATTTTGAGTAAATCTATTTTAAGACAATAACTTGGGTATACATTTCTTTTTGGAATGTGTTTGGCTTTAGTGATTTTGATCTTTCTGAGGTCAGTCATTAGTTTTTGGAAGACTGAAAGATACCTGTCTGAAAGGGCTTTCTTTTTGTCATTAGAGGATTACCCAGAATTCTTTGTTTTGCATTTTCCCCTGTGGCTTTCACTACTGCTGTTCTTCACTTGGCAGGTCCTATAATTATACAAATGTCTTAGGCTTGCAAGTGCTTCATGTGTAATACTGAGACTATCTAGGGCCTAACTTACTGCAAAGACATGTCTGTCAATGCATTGACAGTAGATATGTTCTGGTTTTGATTTCTGTCTTTTGTATTTTACAGCAAAGATGAAATGGAAGATGCCACTTTATGTAGGGATCCCTCCCGCTTGCAGACACAACCATGTAGCATTTATTCTTCATAGCCATGTAAGTGAATGTAATGTTAAAGCAGAATTCTGCCATCCTAAACTTTACTAACTGTGTTTCATCCTTACTGATTTAAAGAGCCTACCTGCAATCTGTATTTATTCAGGCAACATACAGCTCAGCTGTTTCTTCAGTTCTTAAATGTATATGTAGTCACCGTATAGACCTACATTTTAGTTTTCTATTTTCTATTAAGTCCCATGTTGATTTTAATCATTCTTTTCAAAACACAATTTACAACAATTAAATAGTTGCATTTAACAAAATAAAAACAGTTTATTAATACATGAAACAATGTACAGAAAGTCCAGTAAATCAAGGTTTTTTCCCACACTTAAGGGCAGTAGTAGGAGCAGAGTGAAGTACGAGCAAGGCGTCTTATGGATTGTTGTCGCTCACCACACTGTTTCAAGTATAAATGCAGACTTCCAAGTATTCCACTCAGCATCTTTTTGACTGTCATTAGTGAAAGAGTTCTCCACAGGAGCTAAACCACAAAGGCTGTTGCTCCAGCTCTTCTTCACATCCCAGCAATATCTCTGGATATCTTTTTCTCAGATTCTACCTGGTTTTTCAGTGGTTAAATTTCAAAGGTCTTTGCTTTGACCATTTCAAGACATTTTTGCAGCTGTTCATCAGTTGTTGTTTTTTTCAGTGCTCTGGTGGCTGACTCTGGCACCTGCTTGAAGCTCTGGCACTCCTGGTTTCTTGTGCTTGACATTGTCTTTGCACCTCAACGCCTGTTTTGGTGCAACGACATTTTTTCCTTTGTACCTCAGTGCCTGTGTTTCTAGTGACTCCGTGCTACTGCAGTACCTCACCACCAGTGTTTCTCAGTGGTTTAACACCAAATTTTGCATTTTGGCTTGGCTTCCATCTTGGCATTTAGCATTTGCTTCACTGTTCCACATCTTTGGGACATTACTTAATGTAGCAGTTTGTCTATTAGGTATGGTGGGTGCTTCCCTGGAGGAGCCTGCACCCTTTTCCTTTTCACAGGAAGTAACTTCTAAAACGGAAGGAAGGTTGCACAGTAGCAATTCATGTGAATGAAACACATGATGTCTGTGATGACTGATAATCTTTGTGCCATCTATCTTGGAGTCAGCCACAACGTGCATGGGTGACAGACGTGCTTGCAAATATTACCCAAAGAACTTAAGAAATGTTCAGAATGACTCCAAGCACGCTTTGATAAACCCCTGGGGTACTCCTGTAAGTCCAAAACAAGGCTGTGAAGGTGTGTCACATCACTGACTAAACCCTCAAGGCATAAAACTGAGTTGGCCAAGACCCCTGAGCACTAGGACTCAGCACTGGTGCTGTGTTGGTACAAATCGACCTTCTCTATGACACGTCCATTGTAGCCTTTTCCTCAAAGTGGCTCACACAGTCACCTCTAGCATTGAGGGGTTCCACTAAGTATCGGTTCCTGAATGCACTCGAGTGGTCTCGGAGCCTGATCTTGCAGTGAGATCAATGACAAAGCTCACATTGACTCCAGTGGTGCAGGATCAGGCCCTCAGTCTTTGAAGTCAGTTGTTCTGAGCTCCAGCTCCTCAGGTAAGGAGGGACCGTCCACATGAGAGACTGCAGTAGAAGGCACTGATTGCAGGCCAGCAGCGCTCCCCTGTTGAAGCTGCTAACTAGACAGCTCTATAGTGTGGGCTCTAAACTTTCTTTTGCAGGCAGTAAATATAAACCAAAAAGGGTTTTCGTGTGTATTTTATTTTATTTTATTTTATTTATTTAACACTCTCCACCCAATAGTGTTGCCAATGCATTGGGGTGAGCAACAGAAATTACTCAGGACTGTTCCTCTATGAGATTAGATGGTAGTGGGTCTTCTTCCCTTGTCGACACAAGGACTGTGGGAACAGCTAAGGAGGCTCTCTTCTGAACTACTGGAAGTCCCAAAATGAGCATAAAGTCACTCTCTGGGATGAGCTGCTCAACTTCTTTCAGAGGGGCAGGGAGATTGGAAACATCTTCTCTAGAGGAAATTAGGCAGCAACTTCTGTAAGGTCCTGCATAGACCAGGCTGAGCAGTTCCTCTCCTCGCCTGGGGCAGGGCAGGCAGATTATGTCAGAGTCTTCTGTGCGGGGATCCCAGGCAGTGACACAGTCAGGCATTTTCCATTTATTGGAATTATACAGTTTTTTCAAGAAGAGTTTTACTGTATTCAATTGGAATGAGCACCGGGAACCATAAATACAGAATGTACTATACTAAAGGGCCTCTGCAAACATTAACTGATACATTAATGTGATTATGCAACCCTGTCATTATTTTGGTTTGCTATTGATGTCACTTGCTTTTTCATTGTTCCCAGCTCTATATCTTTGGTGGCATGAATGAGGAAGAAGAACTCAATGATATAATGGGGATGAAATTGATAAACCCATCAGACAGACAACCTAGTAAGTTTACTATGAATTTGGTAAATTCTAAATTTATTGTTAACTTGAAGCCAATTCTTCATGTCTCCGTCCTTTCCCACTCCCATCTTATGCCAAATTCTGTGATAATATGTCTATAGAAAGACAGTACTATTATGTTTGCTTAACATGGGCTTCCAGAGCTGCTGTTCACTCCTTAAAATGCTATTTAATACATCACCTAAACTGACTGTCATGATCTCTGGAAAACATACACTCTATCTGGTCTTATAGGGCCCAGTCCTCTGAGGTGCTGAGTGCCACCTGCGAGGAACTGAACTCCTTTGACATTAATTGACTTGAAGATCAAATAGCAGTGTGCTTGTTTTCTGAAGAAAATAACTTTCAGTTAACTTTAGTGGGAGTTAAGAGCTCTCATCACCTGGTAGGATCACATGCTCAAGTATTACCTTAATTTACACTGTAAAATAGTTCACTAAAATGTACTTAGTCCCTTAATACCATAGGATTGGTTTTCCACCTATTGGGTTATTACTAATGTCACTTACTTTTAGCCTTTTTAAAATAAGAATAATGGTAATATCAGCTAGTTGTAGTCATAGATCCAACTAAAATATTGTAAGTGTAACAGGGTGCGGCCCTCTGTTCACTTCTGTCTTCTTGTTCAAATGACTGTAACAACTCTGATTTGTAAACACTGACATATAGCTTATTTGGGTTATCTCAACCACCACCTCTTTTACAGTCCATGCAGCAACTCCGTTTACAGTGACATACAAACCTCATCCCCGTTTTGCCAGCAAGAAGAGAGGGAAGAGATCTCGCCACAGAGATCTCCCTTTTACCCAGCCCTATTCCTATCCCTTATGCCATTCTCATTGCCCCTTCCCCTTGCACTTCCTTCCTGTGTGCCATTCTACTCTTTCAGTTAATGGGTTAACTAGCTTGTTAGCGCCCCCAGCTCAAACTGATCTAGTAATTAGCTCCAGCTTCACAAGAACATAAGAATGGCCATACTGGGTCAGACCATAGTAGCCCAGTATCCTGTCTTCTGACAGTGGCCAATACCAGGTGCCCCAGAGGGAATGAACAAAACAGGTAATCACCAAGTGATCCATCCCCTGTCACCATTCCCAGGTTCTGACAAACAGAGGCTAGAGACCCCATCCCTGTCCATCCTGGCTAATAGCCACTGATGGACCTATCCTCCATGGCTTCCATCAGTCAGGTCTTCTTTGGGGAAACTACTTGGACTTAAATTGACTAGAGTGCTGGTTCAGCTGCTGGTTCTCATCACTCTGTCACAGTAAGTAATAGTTCATCTAAAATGTGTTTCTTATTAAATGTCTGAGTAAAATGAGCACAGTAGCTCATAACAAAAGGAGCACTGGCACTAACCCTATTATCAGCAGGAGAAAATAGCCCATCTTAACTGATGACTCTCGTTAAAGTTAGTATGGCAACACCCGTTTTTTCATGTCCTCTGTGTATATATATCTTCCTACTGTACTTTCCACTGCATGCATCTGATGAAGTGGGTTTTAGCCCACAAAAGCTTATGCTCAGATAAATTTGTTAGTCTCTAAGGTGCCACAAGTACTCCTCATTCTTTTTGCTGATACAGACTAACATGGCTACCATTCTGAAACCTATAATAATGCTGAATTGATTTTAATTCATGACATTACTAAAAGCTGTTTAAAAATATCTGAGAGAATACATTATTTTCACCCATAAAAGGTGGTGTGAATCGTTAATGCCTACAATGCTCATTTTGTGAATTAGGAGTCTTAATTACCAGCATCCCAGTAATATGTGTCTACCATATTTCCAGACTAGACAGCATGTTATGGAGCGAGTAGTGTTGTTTTCACAATTACCACAAGATGTCATCACACTAACCCACTTTGTGGGTGTCAGCCTAGTAATGTGCGCCAGCTTCACTTGTACACTGTGTGACTGGTGTCCTTTTCAGCTGCATACATCCTCACTATCCCTCTTTATAATTAGCAATAGGTAATTCTCAGCAGGGACAGGGTTTGTTCAACATTACAAATTTTTGTTCTCATTCAAAGCTCTGAAGCTTTTCCAGTATCCTTTGGACAGTCCCCAATTGTCAGTTTCCCTGCAACACAATTCCTCCTCCAACAAGCCCCATCTCCCCATAGCAGGGGAGTGTTGCTAGCAGCAGGATCTTCAATGGTGTGAAAAAGGACTCTTCTCTCCCACGTTGGTGGCAGGCCCTCTTGGTGAGGAAGGTTCTCTGTGGTCTGTCTGGCTGATCTCTTCCAGTGGCATGTCATTTCTGAGGAGGAGGTTGATGTGCAAACCTCTAATTTGAGGTGTGGGCCTCTATCTTCCCACTGGAGGCAGTAGCTGGGTGGCAAGACCCGGAGGTCTAAGTGATTCATTTCTCTTCATACTTCATGACACTGTGGAATTGCCTTGGGCTTTCACCCCAGAATGCACAATGTGTGCTTCTCAAGTCAGAGAACAATTGAAATCTCATGCTTGCTGCATTCTGGGACTCAAGTTAGTAGTAAAGCCCGGCAGTGTCAGGAAGTGGGAGAAAGCTGAAACAAGGTTGCAAGCCACTGGGCATATTCTCTGACTGGGGAGGGTACAATTAAGCTCCCAACAACTGCACCTCTATCCCGATATAATGCTGTTCTCGGGAGCCAAAAAATCTTACCGCATTATAGGTGAAACCGTGTTATATCGAACTTGCTTTGATCCGCCGGAGCGCACAGCCCCACCCCCACCCCCGGAGCACTGCTTTACCGCGTTATATCCGAATTCGTGTTATATCGGGTCGCGTTATATCGGGGTAGAGGTGTCTTTAGGCCAAGACCCTTCCTCAGGACTGGCTTTATTTTCAAACCTGTCTGCTGTCCTTGTCTAAGGGTATGTCCACGCTGCAAATAAAAACCTGCAGCTGGCCCATGCCTGCTGACTCGGGCTGCAGGGCTTTTTCATTGCTGTGTAGACTTCCTGGCTCAGGCTGCAGCCCAAGCTCTGGGAACCTCCCACCTCATGGGTCCTAGAGACCAGGCTCCAATCCAAGCCTGTAAGTCTACACTGCAAAGAAACGGCGCCGCAGCCCAAGCCCCAGGAGCCCCAGTCAGCTGGCTTGGTCCAGCCGCAGGTATCTAATTGCACTGTAGACATACCCTAAGAAGCGGGAAGCATTATATCTGCATTCTGGTAGGTCACATATTTGGTACTAGTCAAGTGCCCTGCCACTGCAGCTCACAGTTTTAAAAGGCTCAAGGGCTATAACAAGTGCCCTGGGGATCTGGGTCGTGTGCATGTTCACCAAGGCCCATCTTGTATGTATGCAGAGGTACAGAGGTTTCCAAGTGTTGTGTAATGAAATGCGAGAAAAGAAAATGAAGAGTTGGGGAGAGAGAGAGAGAGAGAAGCAAGAGCCCATCTCAGCTGATCTCAGTCCATCATGCTGGTACAGAGAGGCAATTCCTGAGGTAGCTAGAATACAAGTAATATAGGGGTTTAATATTTATATTATAGTAGTACCCAAAAGCCCCAAACAGGATCAGGGTCCTATTATGTGAGGCCTTATATAAATCAAGATGTGAACACAGTCCATATCCTGAAGAGTTCAATAACTTAAGCTGCACCTAAAAGTGAATAGGGATAGTCTTTGGAGGGCTTGTATAATATGTTCCAGGCACATACCCTATTCCCAATGTGGCAAGCTGGCAGCCACATTCTGTATCAACTGAAGCTTCAAATTATCTTGAGTGTGTGATTTTTGCTATGCTAACATTTTATCACTTCAAAACTTGTCTTGTGGATGAACATTCATAGCAGTTAAAAAAGCTATACACATGTTATTGTAATGATATGGTCTCAGCCAAAATACATTATAAAAATAGTAGAAAGATCCCATAATGGTTCTGATCTATCACTCCTTGTTCATAAAATGTGTTGTTAGACTAATGGCAAATTGATGTCTTAATTTCAGTAATGAAGGAGATTCTCTCAGAATTTGGAATCCAGGGAGTAAGCAGCAGGTATTCTTTATATTTTTGTTTCTTTGCTTTCTTTCCTTCTATGGGAAAAGGCAGGAAAGATTGAATATTTGTGATTTTTTTCATATTGGCTCTGCCTTTGACTGAGCTGGCCTCTCCATGCAGTACAAAGTATTTTCTGTGAATAAATCATCATAAATATGTGATTCGTTGATTTTTTGAATCTGGCTCATAACTAATAATTGCCCACATTTCAGTGACAAATACAATGGCCCAGCTACATAAATCAATTCCCTTGCTACTCAGAGAACAGCATTTAATAGCGATAAAGGAATAAGCTGATATTCAGATGTGGGTCCTATTATTCTGGACCCTTAATACAAAGGCTGTCTGCCTTTACTCCTCTTCTTCTCTGGTTTATCTGAGGCTATGTCTACACTGGGCCTGTACCCAAGTCCTGGCTCGCATGCATGCATCTGCATATTAGCTAAGCCCACCACCAGAGTCCACACTGCAGAGCTGCACAGACGCCATACCCCATGTAGCCATGTCCATACTGATAGTGTAGCTACATGGCGTTTCGGAGTCCTGAGTGTCCTCACCATCTGGAGAAGCCCTAGTATTGGTTTGTGGGAGAACTTGTCTGTTCTTCTCAGACCCCTGTGCAGAAGTGCTTTCAGCCTGCCACATTTTAAATGCTGTTTTTTTGTGAGGCGCTTGCAAGTTGTGAATGCTGTTCACTTCTGTCCAGTCTATCCCGGGAAGAGCGTGGGACCAACTGATCAGCTGCACCTGTTTGCAAATGAATGGTTTAAGTAGCAGAGCAGATGTTCAGCAAGACACTGGATGGCATTTCAGGAGCACGTTCTGAGACAAAGAAAGCAGCTGAACTTGGAGGAGGATTCATTCACAGCAGACTGGACACAGCTAATGAATGCCACAATTGGTCCTTATTTTCCATGTATAGACCGGCATATCTGGTGCAGGACAACTAGCATAGTGTGGTAGGACCACATGCATCCATCTTGGATACCATGTGGTGTCAGCCTGGGGAGGATGCAAGTCTGAGGATAGGGTGGATGCCCTCTGGGAGTCTCCTATGTACCTCCCTCTGCCCAGGATAAACAATAACAGAGTGTTTAAAAATAAACTTTTCTCAGCTTGGCATCCATCTTGGATACCACATGGTGGTGGGGGAAGCTGGAGCGAGGGGGTCTGGAGCGAGGGAAGGTGCCCTATTGTGACAGATTTATGTTACCAGTCTGCCTGGGGCTTCAGGTGATCAGGCTGAGGCCGCAGGATCTTTAGGAGAGGAGATGAAGGAGCACACCAAGTGACTAAGTTTAAAGCTTTATTAACCAAATAACAGCAGTGAGTGCTGGGTGCACCCCACATCACTCAAAGGGAGGAAGAAAGCGTTAGTGCCCAAGCCCTAACCCACTTTCATACTTACACACGCACAACCCAAGGCTGGCCAAGCCTGGGTGTAACGTAAGAAGAAGTGGGGGGGAAAGATGAGAGTTCTACCCTGTGCACAGGTTGTCTAGGGTCCGCTGTAAATCTCTGTCTTGCTTCAGCTCTCAGGAGAGTTTTAAGCCCTGGGTTCTTCTGGGGGCGTTTCATCCAGTGGCCCCCATCCCCCGTGGTCTCTGTACCAGTCCAAACCGGCCTTCTGCAGCTCCTTTGGCTTCCCCAAAACACACCAGTTTCAGGGTCGCAAGACTGTTGTGTTCCCATTCGCTGGCCTTCGCAATCTTACTAGTTTTGCAACCCCTTCAGTTCTGTCTGGCTCAGTTCTCCTTTCTCATGGCTAGCCGGGGTTGTGATACAGGCTTCCGGCTGTTTGGCAGCAGAGAGCTTGTTTGTGTGCACTGGCCTTGGGCTGCAGTTTCGTTCCTTAGCTTTGGTTCGTCAAGTTAACCCGTTCCTTTCTCCCTTCCTCCCCCTTTGGCCCTTTGTAACCTGCAAAGGAATCTTCCATTCCACACTCATACCTTTAACCCTTCCCAAGATACTTCCCAATGCATATAGAGATGTTAGCAATATACAATGCTGGTGCTTACCCAGGGGACCCCATGAGTGGGGGAGGCATTTTATTGTGACACTATGAGAGTTTCTTGTGTACTGCCCTCCACCCAGGATAAACAAACCTGTTCCCGGAACATAACATCTTTCTCCATAGCAGAACAGGGAATTGTGTGAATGACAATGGAAGAGTAAGTAGACTCGAGGACAGGTCACCACGTCATCGCTATGACCACACTACACAGTGACCAGGTAGCAAGGTGGGTCATGGGTCAACGTGCAGCTTTACCCAGGCCTCCAGACAGGTTTGCCAGCTCCATTTCTACACACCTTTGAACACGTATCTCAGGGATTTGAGTGTGAATGATAGTAATGTAGGAGGCAATGACTAGCGATTTGACACACCGAAAGCCGGAAATGTAGACATACTCTCAGAGAACATCTCTTGCCACCCTGGCCTTCATGTGGACAAAGACACTCATCTGTCTTCTCAGCAAGGATGCCAGTGATATTCATTTACCTCCTGAAGACTTAAGGAGGGAGGACCTGAAATAGTAGATTGAGGATATCAAGTAGGAAGATACTGGATATGGGGAGAGAAAAATAGAAGAGTCAAAGATGACACTAATGCTGAAAGATTAAGTTCTCAAATATTTCTGCTGTTTTGCAAATGTATTATTTGATTCACCCAACTGTAGCATATAGTTCTGTGCTTAATAACTTTGTCCCCTTGAACTAAATCAATATTCTAATACCTGACCTCAAACAACTTCCAGATCAACCAAGAGAAAAAGAGAATTCACCTCCTTTGCAGTCATTTTTATTTGTTTAGAAAAGTGTTTAGTTTCAGGCTCGTTATTAATACCATGATTTTGTGTATGTGTGTGTGTATAGGTTTACTCCCACCAAAATACCCAAAGTGAAATATGAATTAATGGTATCACCTTTTCCTGCGAGAATGGAGTCCCCACCTGCAATCCCAGTAAGTATCTCACCTCAGTTTCACTAGATCTAAGGAGGTTTGTTTCTTTGTGTAACATTGGAGCTGTGGTTTTATCCAGAACACTTAGGAAATGTGCATTCACCTGAAAGTTAAGCAGTAAGACATGACAGGATGTGCTTCATGCTATACAACATTACCCTGCAGGTGCCTTGTGAGGAACAAAGCTAAGGCAAGTTTCCTGAATATCTTGGGCATGATGTTGCACCTTATTGTGCCTCTGGGTAATTACAAAATGGCTTCATGAAAGAAAAATTATTCCTGTTTGCTTGGGGGTTTAGTTGGTTGTTTTTTTTAGTGTGGATTTTATATAGATCCTTCCACTTGGAGGGGAAAAAAGTCAAAGAAATAAACATTTTAAGGGCCAGATCTCTCTCTCACACACACCCTGACTGGAATGCCCAAGAGGGAGGCGAACTCCATGAGGTGACCCTGGCAGAGATTTTCTTGAACCAGCCCTTAAGGATTTGTGGAGAGGAATGTCTGTACTGAGAACAGGAATTGTCTTACAGGGGTGACTGCTGCATTGCTGCTTCTGCTACCACCCCCACCCCACCCCCGGGCAACATAATTTCTGCAGTTATTGGCTGGGGTCCCCCTGTGGCAGCTCTGTAGCTGCTGCAGAGGTGACTCAGAGAGAGCACTATAGCTCTCAACTGTAGTTCTTCCACCTAGCTGTCTGCAAGGCACTTTGCAGTGCTTCAGAAAGCAACACTTCCCCTCTTCTACTTTTTGGTCTTGTACCATGAACTCAGCAGCATTCCATCCATGATGCAGAGCTCCAGCAAATAAGCATTAGGGTTGCCAATTTGGTTGGCTGTATTCCTGGAGGTTTCATCTCATGACATGATCTTTAATTAAAGATTAATCTTTAATTCCTGGAGACTCCCAGGCAATCCTGGAGGGATGGCAACCCTAAGAAGCATCCACATTCAGTAAGGAGAGGGGGATGGAGTGACAGAGGAAGTATGGATGCTCTCCAACTTACGCAAGCGTTCCGTTCCGGAACGCCTTGCGTAACTCCAATTTTGCGTAAGTTGGGAACATATACCCGACCATTACACACACACACACAAAAAATTCTAGTTTACGGAATTTACAGAACTTTTTCCGTAAGTGCAGATTTGCGTAAGTCGGGCTTGCATAACCCAGGGAGCGTCTGTACTCTCCCTTCTGTGCAGCAAGGTCAAGGGTTCCTGCCTGGCTTTGTTTATACTAAGCATGAAAGTAAGAAAAAAGGATCTACAGAACCAGAACCTATTTTAATGTTGTTTATTCTGAAAGAGGTTTCTCTTCCTTTCTCCTTTGACTTAGCAGAAATGGGGTTAAACACTGAACATATTCTTTTTTGGGGGAAGCTGCTAAAGTGTTTGAGTATCTCCAGGAGGAGTAAAAGAGAGAGATACATTAATTAAATAAATAAACTGGAGAGAAAGGTCTGAGGGGGGACATAATATATTTCATCTTTCCCACCTGACAGGTGTATCACGTTAATGGCCTCCACTCTGAGTCATCTCTTTTGGTGCTAAGGTTTTGGTTTGGAGGTATTATTTTGGCCGGGGAAGGGGGGGCGGGGGAGAGGAGGCTCTTTAAGGTCCCAGTTCAGTAAAGCTTTTAAATACATGCTTAAATACTTTGCTGAATAGGGCTGGATGGCTGAATTGGGGCCTAAATTGCTCCTTCTATTATCATTATACCTTGCATAGTAATTTTAGCAGTTATTTTCAAATTATGGGCTAATAGACTCTTTTAATTTGGTACAAGCCATTCAGGTCAATTTCATGTATTTCTTATGGTATCACATGAAAAAATTGAGTATGCCAGCCCCATCTTCAACCTGCTTTGGGGGATATAATTTGAAAATTATTGCTACAATACAATTACTATATAACTATTTGCTGTAGGTAACAATTTAAATGGGTCACATGTTCCTTGAATCACTTGCATATAAAGATTTCCCAGATTGCCCAATAACAGCATTGCTTAGCAAATAAATTACTGGGTTCTTAACTTATGTAGTAAAATATTTAATTATTGATTTAATTGTCAAGTAAATACGTTGCTCAGTAAAGGAATTAATTTCCATTACTAAACATTATACTACAGAGCATTTGCTAAATGGATGCATTATTTTATTACTATCAATAATTTCAGTGTAGGATTCCATCCCCCCTGCAGATGATTTGAGATCAGCCTTCAGAAGAATTTCAGCCCTGTCTGTGAGACCAGTGGTAAAAACCAATATGTACAGGCCACTCTCCTAAAGAGACTGAATAACTAATGCTGTGAACAGGATTAAATGAGGAAAATTCATAGCAAAATAAATGTATTGTTTAGAACAGAAAAGGTAAAAATCACTGCTGAGCAGAGACAAGGTGGAAAAATGTGCAAATAAATAACTAGAGTAAACCAAAAATCACAACTGGCATCCCCCTATGAAATAATGATCAACATGAGTCTGTGTTGTAGTGAAATCTATCATCTCTTACCATCACCCAGGGAAAAACTGGTAGATAGAACAGTAGGTCTTGATGGGAAAACTCATAGATGACTTAGACCATTGTAGGTTTAAGGGGAGATGCTAATAATCATTAAATGCCTTCTCTTCTTCTGTGATTCTTTATGGTATCTCAAGCTGTGTTAACTTATGATTTTCTACATAGGCAGCTCAACTCAGAGATTTCATTTCTGTACGTAACCAAGCAATGGACATGATCACAAGGGCCTTTGCCTTGCTGGACTTGGAGTTTCAAAAGCTAGACACGTATGTATTATTTAGAGTCTCTAGAAATGTTCTTTGTGTTTTGTGGGAGATGGGGGGTAAAAATCTCTTAAAGGGGGCAAGGATAAGGATTATTATGGGAACCAATATTTTACGAGCAAAAAATACGATAGAAATGTCTACAAATGTAAAAGTTCAGCAAGATGATTCGGCTTTTTAAATAAAGGGCTGCAAGCTTCATTATCATTAAACTGTTTTCCCCTCCATGGAGCAGTATGCATCATATGGCTGTGGCTGCTGCCAAAAAGATAATGTGATATTCAGAAACCTCAAAGGGCATAATTGCTCTACTGTTTGCTCACAATTTGTTTAAAGTTTAATATGCAGTATGTATTTTAAAATTTGGATGTTAGTTATTATATCATGAGTAGGGTGACCAGATGTCCTGATTTTATAGGGACAGTCCCGATTTTTGGGTCTTTTTCTTATATAGGCTCCTATTACCCCCCACCCCCGTCCCGATTTTTCACATTTGCTGTCTGGTCACCCTACATCAGTAGTTCCCAAACTGGGGTTCGCAAACCCCTGGGGGTTCGCAGAACGTTACAGGGGATTCGCCAGAAAAATTTCACTAATGGCGGACAGAGGACCCCGGGCATTAGAGACAGCAGGTGGGACCCAGTTGCAGGGCAGACACCCCAAGTCCCAGGGAGAGCGGGACCGGGCAGTTGGGGCTGGCAGCCTGCGCCCTGCCCCCACCAACCGGGTAGCCAGCAGTCCGAACCCCAGCGCTCCGCGTGGGACTGGCAGCCCAAGCCCCAGGGAGAGCAGGGCCAGGCAGTTGGGGCTGGCAGCCTGAGCCCTGCCCCCATCAGCAGGGGAGCCGGCAGCCCGAACCCCAGCGCTCCCCATGCAGGGCTGGCAGCCCAAGCCCTGGGAAGACTGGGGCCAGGCAGTTGGGGCTGGCAGCCCCAGCTCTGCCCCTGTCAGCAGGGGAGCCAGCAACCCAAACCCCAGCCCGAGCCCCAGGAAGAGCGGGGCAGGCAGTTGGGGCATCCATCACATTGAGGAAATTTAAACTTTAATCCCTGAAAATATTCATTTTTAGGAGGGGGTTCACGAGATTTCACAATTTAGTGAAAGGGGTTCGCGGACTGTTAAAGTTGAGAACCACTGCCCTACATGAATGTCAAAGTATTTTAAGCAACTTATAGAGAAACATGAAAGAGTTACTACTAGGCTTAGTTCTAGTTCTCAGAGCCCGATTGCCCCCTCTGGCAGAAAAACAATACAGAAAGGGACTCAGAGGAAGGAAATTTCCTTAAGGATCATCTTGCAGAGATCCTTCCCTCTGGTTGCTTCACTAGGGGAGTGAGCTTATCCCCTGTGGTACAGGTTGCAGGAGCCACCCACAAATCTGAAGGATTCCTGGGTATCTGTGGGAGATCAGAGTCATCCATGTGCATAACCTGTACTTCCACAGTTGCTTGAGCCCCCAGTGGAATCCTGTGCTCCATCCCTGGCAGCATACCACCACCGTAGCTATGTTATCAGGGACTTGCCTGCAGCTGCCCCTGGGGAAAAGATAATACAGCTCCAATTTGTATTTTCTGAATAATATTTTCAGGGCTATACTGGGGGAGGGGGATCCACCTAGGTCCACCTATTCTCTGTTCCTTTCTCCAGCCCTGTGTCTACAGAGTGCCCTTCATGTGGTAAAGATGAGGGGAATATTACCCAATTCCCCCCTCCTTCCTGAGAGGTGGAATAACCACCCTCAGTTCTTAGGGGATGTACCATCCTACACAGAGATAATTAGTTGAAGGGCCTTTTGTCTTTGCACTAATTTCCTTGTTACTAATTTCCTTTGCACTAATTTCCTTGTTACCTACCTTTTGGTTTTGTTTTCAGTGTTGTTTAGAGCTTCTTTCTTTTGGATGTTTAATTTCCTTTTAGAGCCTTCTGTAGCAATGGGTGAACCACACAAAGTTTGGAGGTTCAGATCAACAGCGCAAAGTTTGATGCTGATCATAAGCTTTTCTAAAATCTTTTTGGTCTGAAAACCTTGAAAGATCAAGTTCTGGCAGGATTTCCAGTATTTACTACAGCTTTAGCCTGGCTAGAAATAGCACACAAAAAGTCTTTCCCATGGTTTTCCGATTCTTGCTGTCCTTGCCAGAATCACAGTGTACACTTTACAGAGATGAGTGATGATTTTTTTGGGGAAAGGGCCCTAGGGGAGGCTAACTTGCTTCTCCTTCCCTCTGAGTTGTAGTGCTCAAATTGCCATTGGATTTATAACACAGCTGTTGGAGTTCTGCTGTGAGTAGTGTGTGTCTGGGCAGGTACTGGTTGCTGAGGTTCAGCAGCTCCCCGCTGGATTTGAGAGGCCTTGTTCAAGTGCAGCCAGGTTCAGTGGACATCAAGCTAAATAGTTGAAGATCAAACTACATATCCCATTGCCAATATTTTATTTTTTTCTTTCAAAATAAAACCACAAGGAAATTGTACACACAAAACTAGCGTAAATGCATTGCTGAAACTGGGAAATCAGACCTCCAGAAGAGAGGAAATGCAGGGTTAAAGTTGAAAACCTTAACTCTGACCCATCTGCTAATTCTTTGTTAATGTAATACAAACAGGGATTTCTTATAACAGCCCTGTGTAAAGTAAGGTTTGATTATGTAGGAATGCACAAGGAGGGAGAGAGAGCAGGTAGAGAGGTGTCTAGGTAGAGTCTGTTCCTTTTAAAGTCAATGGGGACCTGGGGCCAGCCAACTCTGTTCCAAGGCATGGCCCCTTTAAGAAAAGGTAGGAGGATCATGAGACCAAACTAGGAATAGGATACTGTGCCTGAGGCATGTGATCATCTGATGAGGATTAAAAAGTAGTGCTGTTTGATCAGTTAGGAGGAACCTAGAGAGGTTGTCTTGTGGTAGGACTACATGATGATGGGTTTGGGAAGCCTGACAGTTCAGGCACAGCCCCAAGAAGGAGGGCTATGGTGACCTTATCCCAAAGGAAAGAGAAGTTTGAGCCCAGGGACTGGTGCCATGAAAAGACCTGGTGGGGTGTTTCTTACTAGAGGGGCCCACAGGCTGGAGAGGAACCAACAGAGCTCCCAGGTAGAGAAGGAACTGGGGAGTTGTGAAAGAGCTTGAAAGAGCTTGAGCTTGAAACAAGGGACTTGATTCTTGTCAGTCTCATGGCTGCTCACCACTGAATAGCGGGTGTAAAAGTGACCAGTCTCATGTTCACTTGATAATAAGTCTGGTCTATTTCACGGTTGCAATTCAGCAGTGACTAGTATGAAACTGACAAGGATCGTGTCAATGTCAGTGAGTGGCTTCCACCCTCCATAGCTCCATTTGTGAAATACTATCGGATTTCAGTTCTCTGAAAACTTTTGATTAGTTGGTTTTCATTCCCATTTGGGATGAAAAATATTTTTTTAAATACAAAATTTCATGCAGAACTAAAATTTGGTTTCCTGGACAGCTTTGACAGTATCTGTTTAAGACAAAGTGCTTCCAGGAGCTCTGTTGCAGCAGAGCACTATGAAGCCCACAATTCCCAGTCTAGACTGGATCAGTTCCAGTGAAATTCGTTACCTTGAGATTATTCCACTGACCAAGGTCTTACAATAGGAAACTTTTGCTAAAACGTCTTGTTGTTGTTCCTTGTGTTTGAGCTCCACTGGGGGTGACAATGTAGGCAAAGCTGCCATCAATTTCCAGTATTTTAAGTAAAGTTGGGCAGAAACCAGACTTCCTGTTTCATGGGAAATTCTGAAATTTTAAAACTTTTCTGTTTTGAAATAGAATAATTAAAAAATTTGAAATCTCCCAGGAAACAACATTTTGAAAAGTTCATTTTCAGGTCATTTGAAATGTTTTGTTCTAATTTTCACTTGTATTAAAAAAAACTTGAAACAATAACATCTTTTCAAAATGAAAAACTGGAAATTTATTGGAATTCCCCATTCTGCTTTTTTAAGTGAAATTTTGTTGAAATCTACACAAATGTTTCACTTTTGGCAAATTGGCATTTTCTTCTGACAGAAAATGTTCCAGAAAATTTCTGACCAGCTCTCATTTTAAACTATATGTCATTTAGCTCTGTTAGACAACATGTGCTTAAAATGCTGATGCTCTGTCTACACTAGTGTTGTCACTATTACTAACACCAGTTGTTGTCTGATCCTTTTCAATGATTAATAATGCTTGGATTGGTTGCCAGTTGATCTGATTAATGAGCTGAGGGTAATAGGGCTATTGTCCCAGAATCAATCAGGCTACACAGAACTAAACCAACCAATTCGATATCTTGTAGGGAACCTCGAGGGGTCTGGCAAGGAACTCACACTGAGGGCAAAGTAAAGCCTTAGAAATGTTTATCAGGATCAATAATAAAGCCAGAAAAGCTCTGAGCCACATAAACAGATAGGAATAATACAGTATTGGGGATATCTGTGGTACCATTCTTTGCATATGCTCTTAGATTTGCATACTTATACCCTTCCTTGAGGTACTGATGGTAAGACAAAGGATCAGCCTTGTCTATGGCATGCCAAACGAATCCAGTGGTCCAGGTTCCTCAATGCCCAAGATTGATGAAGGGTCAAATGATGGAAAACTAGCCCCCTCCACATGGTGGTTTGCCCTATTATAGGTAGAGCCCTGCGCGGATACAAGTTTATACCCTCAGATGCGGATATCCACGGATATAAATCGGTGGAACTGCAGGGCTCTCCCAAGAACCACAGCAGTGAAAGGAGCAGAACGTGGGGCCGCCGCTCCCAGGAACCAGCACCTCACTCCAGCAGCTCCTCCAGCGTGGCTGTACTACCTCCGTTCCTTCCATGTAGCTGTCTGCGTCTCCTGTCTGGGTGGATGCGCGCTGATTGAACACAAGAGCGTGACCAGGAACAGCTGCCGGTAAGCTTGGTGCCCACCCCAGTGGGCGGCGCTGGGGGCAGTACAGCCACGCTGGAGGAGCTGCTGGTGCAGGGCGCTGGCTCCTGGGAGTGGCAGCTCCACATT